TCTCTTCACTTCTCTTATTTGTTTTGTTTTTCTTATGAGAGTACATCACAGAAAATATGGTTCGAAAGCTTATGTATTGAGTGATGCAATCATAAAAAGTATGCAGTTTTATCCTGGGATTCAGAACGTCATGAAACCGTCATACTACGGGGCGTTTACAAAATTAAGGAAAGAGATCATATCTCGACTCTGCAAATCCGGTTTTATTTTCCTTAATTCTTGTTTATTTTGTATCATTTTAATATTTTGTTATATTAATTTGTTCATCTTAATACTTTACAATTCCTATTGTAGAATTGCATTCTTACAGATAATTGGTCGAGATAAATTTCAGAAATATTCGTCTGTCTCTTGATACACTTGTAGGGAAAATTAGATAAGGTAGTTAACATATTAGGCATCTGATTGGCCGGAAACTCAAAAACATTTGTACGCTTCGTACACTTACACGAATAACATAACACATTCTACAACGGATAAAAAGATGATGCACGTTCAAAAGTTTCAACACGCACGTGTGTGAGATGTTAAAAGTGGAAATCTAGAAATATTCTATACCTACCAGGCTACCACACACACGAAGAGACTTCGAGACAAAAAAATGAAACATTATGGCTTCGAATGGTAATACAGATCAAAATTTGCAGATCAAACAGTAAATCAGATCATGCTGAACAAATACAGATCATGATCTGTATGCAGATCAAATGCATATCAAATATATTAAATAATTATAAAATATCATATTTAATTGGACAATTAAAAAACAAAGAAAATTTTCAATATATATATATAATATATAAAGTTTTCTTAATATATATATATATATATATATTGAAAATTTTCTTAAAAACAAGAAATTTAAAAACTGAAACATTATCTTAAATTTAAATTTGATTACAATATACAAAAAAATTATTTCAAAAAATTAATGTGAAATGTTTTAGTCAGTTCATAATGTACTTGCAATATGTTCCCTAATGTTAACCATAAAAATTTTGTATATAGTTTTGAAATAAATAAATACATATAATTAGAATTGTAATTTATAAGCTATAAATATAGGTTATATTTATATATAAATAAACAAAAATACCCCAAAATATTTAAAATCTTTAGTCATATACTCCCTCTGTTTCATTATATAAGGGGTTTTAGTTTTTGCACAAAAATTTGAAAACCTCTTATATTATGAAACAAAAGAAAAACTCCAAAACCCCTTATATTGTGAAACAGAGGGAGTATATAAAAATCAAATATATTTTTGCATTTATGAATCCATTGTACTAACTTATATGAATCTCTTTATCATAAAAGAAACATGAAACTCAAGAAATTTAAATTTTGAATTGTTATGTTTGTAATATAATTATAATGATATATATATATATATAAATATACATAATTAGTGATTGTAAAAAAAAACCTATTATATAAAAAATATGAATATGTAAAGTGAATATATTTAATTTTTAGATATAAAAATTGTTATGTTCATTATTTAATTATTTATTGAAAGATAGTTAATACAAAAAAAATTTCACAAAATAATATATATATTACACAACATACCTTAAGCTACTAAGAATCTTATAGATTTAATTTTCATATATATAAAGAAATAATAATTAGAAAACCCAATATTTATAACAATTTTTAGAAATAGTTACTTGAAAAATAGTTATGCACATGTAACAAAGGTTTCTAGGCTAGTTTTAATTTAACACAGGTTTTGTGGATTTATTTGTATAAAAGTAAATAATAAATTAATTTTTATAGCATTTATAAGTAATTAAGAAATTAAAAGTAAATAAATATAATATAATAAAAAGATAGGTCTGCATGTGTTCAGGAGGCTTTCAGCTCCTTCTCTGCAGATCAGAAAAATATCACAAAAAGACAAAAAATATTGATCTGCATGCAGAGTGATCTGTATTTTCTTGATCTGTAAATAAAAATATGATTGGCTATAAAATACAGTGTATTTGTTCTAGGCTTCCATTCAACACCTATATAATTCAACTCTAATAGTTTATGGAAGGCCACTGACTGGCCCAATTTACCCCTATCTTTTTAATGGGCCTTATTGATCCGGAGTATTGATCACTCTAAATATGAACATGTTCAAAAAAAGATGGGGACGTATAATTAATTAGGAGTAAGTTATCAACACGAATTTAAATATATGGCAGAATTAGGAATATTTCTGGTAAAGGAACAAGACGACGTGTGACGAGATTCTGTCCACATAAGAAGATGTCTTGCTAATGCCGCCTTAATTAGTTTACATAAAGAATTTAATCTTTTTGGATGGCATATTGTTTTGTGTTCATATGTCGTCTCGTGGATGTTTTGTGAATTGTTCAATACGTACACACGAAGTTAATAGAACATCGTGAGAGCGTGATCGTTTAATCATCGGCCAGGTGTGACCGTATTGGCACAGACACGCACACTGACACACGAATAAAACCAATCACATATATAATATATTCATACTATAGTAGTATTACACATACAAGCAAGCAATGTTTACAATTAATCAAATCATGGAAGAAACTAAAAGACATTATTTTGCTGTTACACACAATCTACTATATACAATTTTACTAGTTGTGTTTAGTTATCTGTTAATTTGAGAAACTCTGAACTTTGTTTTGGGAAACTAGATCATGTTCGACTTAACACATGTGACATTGGCCATTATTACTGCATTGCTTTCAAATTAAAATATAAGATCCAACCAAACCGGGCATTCCAACAAAACTGAACTGGACTCTATCTGAACTGAAATAATAATTTTGTAAGAATTCATTTATAACTTTACCAAAACCAATCTAGTTAACCGAATTTCAAGCACAAAAAACAAAAATCCTAAGAACGATATACATATAACATATGCTAAGCAATTACTTAACTGTAGTTTGAAATGACATTGTAGCGTAGCGCGTTATATACCAAAAAGGAAAGAATATGGTAGCGTGGGCCGTAGGGTGTGTGGTGGTAGTATTTAGTTGACCGTATACAACTTCAAAGTTTGAAGTTTGGTGTGGTATATATATATATATATATATATATATATATATAGATACTCGGTAGTCACACATCCAGAAAATGTATATACGGTCAAATACTAAATGTTTAGCAAAGATAAATATGAAATGTTGACTAACTGCGAAAGTCTGTTTGATATAAAAAAATATTACTGCGAAAGTCTACGAATAAAAATTTGTGTTCAATTAAATTTACGAATGTATATATAGCTAGCTCGGTCTACAAAATAAGTCAACGTATGAACACGTGAGAACTGTTTATTTATATTTGTTTAAACGAGAAGCTTGTTTAATCTTGTTGCACGGGTTGCGATCGGTTCGAGTTTTACCATGTTCGATAGAGATATAAGATATTAAACCTTGTGTAAGTATGTTAACCTTGTTGACCGAAAAGATAAAATACGCTAAGTAAGCTAAATAAAGTACGCTAAGTCAGTAAGCTAAAGTTGGTAACATGAGAAGGTTAAAAAGTGTTGTAATAGTAATAGACATGGAATTTTGATCACACTAAGTATTTTTATAATTTAAATCATGGGTCGGGCTCATTTTTAAGCGATGTTAAGACATGGAATTTTTTTGTTGAAGGTTAAGAGTAAGACATGGAATTTAGAGCTCCAGAAAGTGAGAAAGTGGTAAGTGTTAAAAATCAGTGAAAATAAAAACTTTGTCATCTAGTAGATTAGATTATATCGATTTTTGAAGCCGGAATTACAATTTACAAACAAAGACTCTTTGTTATAAACTTTTGTTGAGTGAGTTTATAACTTCATTTTGAAACAGTAAATGGTAGATTCAAAATTTGTTAATTTTATTCGATGATACTTCGACCGGTATACAGTATACTAGTTAGACATCCAAATTCAACCACTGTGACATGAAATGGAGTGAAATGTCCATTTTTGTCTACTATGATTTTCCGCTCAAAAAAGTTACCAACTTCAGTTTGCGATACTCCGGTTTTGATAGGTCACTTGTTATGACTTGCGACTGGGCCGGAGCCGCGTTGCTGACTTCATTTTCAGTTTTTTTGGATCTTTTCTACTTTTTGTTTTTGTTTTGTTTTCTTCATCTTATTCCGACATTTTGCTAATGACTTACAGCAATTCTTCTCCTGTTACCAACTTTAGCTTTACTGATTTAGAGTGTGATCGCAACACTTATTAATTTGACAATTAGTCTAAGATGTTGCAGTTTGATACTACAGTGTCAAACAGATCACTCGAGTCTTTCCGATTAACGACCGACTATGGTTTCTAAATTCTAATATTTTCCACATATGGTTCACTGGCTCTTCGACTAAGACTCATATTCTTCTTGTCGTCACCTTCTCTTCGATAAAACTTTTATATTCTTTCGCTCTATGAACGTTCATCCGATGTTATAGTAAAGAAGATATTGCCATATATTATGCATATCCCATCGGAATAGGAACTTATTTCACGCAAGAATTTTTGTGTGTGATCGGAAAATAAATATTCCAGCGTGTTACATTATAGCTAATATATAAATACGTTGCCAACAAAAAAAAATACAGTATAATCATAACAAAATAACTCAAGAAGAGAAAGAAATACTAAATTTGAAAGTAATTAGGTAACTGAAAAAGAAAGATAATATTTAGGAGGTAAAACTAAGATTAGGGAAGAAGATTATATGTCCTTTTACTATGCGTGACAAGAATCTACTAATGGACAGACAACTGATAAAGCCAAGGGACCTACGTGTCAGCTACCGACCGGTTCAAAACAATTTAACCGTAACTGGTTTTACAAATCCCGATTTTTATTACCCGGTTTTCGTATTCACGATTCCTCTATTTATAACCCCACCTTCACCGACTCTGTTCGACGCGTCAGTAATATACTTGAAACTTTCTTGTCTCCTCCACTCTCTCTCTCTCTCTCTGTCGAATTCAAATTTCTTCAGGAACTTTTCACACCATAGGAAATGGGGATTTGTGTGTCGTTTAATCGTAGAGACTCCATTTCTTCTCCAACAGTGAAGGTCGTGACTGTTAACGGTGATCTCCGGGAATACAGTATTCCGGTGCTAGCTTCTCAGGTTTTGGAAGCAGAAGCAGCGGCTGCTTCGTCTTCGTCTTCCTCTAGACCTTCTTCTTATTTCATCTGCGACTCTGATTCTCTCTACTACGACGATTTCATCCCGGCGATCGAGCCGGAAGAGCCGCTTCAGGCGGAGCAGATCTACTTCGTCCTCCCGATCTCTAAACGTCAGAACCGGTTAACTGCGTCGGACATGGCGGCTCTCGCCGTGAAAGCAAGCGTCGCGATTCAGAACTCTGTTGGGAAAGAATCTCGCCGGCGTAAGAAGGTGAGAATCTCGCCGGTCATGATGCTGACTCAGCCTGACGGTTCCGTCGCCGCTGTTAACGGAAAAGGAAGCGAGTCGACGGTTAAGAAGGGAAGACCGGTGCTGGATCATAAAACGGGTCCGGTAAAGGCTTCGAGTGGTTATAACCGGTCCGGTTCGGTACGTAATTTGAAGAGATATACGTCTAAGCGAGCAAAGTTGGCGGTTCGATCTTTTAGGCTGAAACTTTCAACGATCTACGAAGGCTCCGTCGTTTAGATCGCTAATATAACTCTTTTAAGTCGTATTTCATTTTTAGCGGAATAACCTAATTAGAAAAACAATTTAAAACATTATTAAAAGAAGCATCATAAATTTTTTCATGTCTTTGTAATTTTTGTTACAAACTGAAACTGGTACTATATTTTTTCAATGAAGAAAAAACTCTGTGTATATCTCTCTTCTTTGCTTTTTTATTTTTAAAAATGTAAATTTTACCATGTTCTATAGAAAACATATATGTTATACAACATTCTAATCATATATGTTATCAAAAACATAATATATACGATTGGCGATGGTTCTATAGTTAACCAATCGTAACCAACTAACCATACAATCTCAAGCTAGGTCAAAATAGTTATTAACCTAAAGTTGTTTATATAGTATGAGTTGTCTTCCATACCTGAATGTAATTTATTTACGTGACGAGTATAATACCATAATCTGAAGCTAAAAGCACTCAAGATCGGCTCGATATTTATCTTATGAATGGAACCCATCGATTAGCATCTTTAACCTTTTTGAATGGAGTATTTCTTTCTTCTTCTTTTTCAACTTTATAAAATATCTACAAAAGATGTATCTATGAGGTGGTGTGGATTTAAAAATGCCGACTCCACACCACTAGCCACTATTGCACTGATAATTGTTTCTCACTTTTGGAACAAAAAATTAAACTGGTTGTGTAACCCCATTCCAGAAACAATATTGCGGGGTTTTAATACAAACGTCCCATGTTTTCGTACGAATGATTTCTTGCTCTTCTTCTTATGGTAAAATAATATTTTATACTCCGTGAATTGGTGTCATTCATCAAATACTGTATAAAGCTATTTGGATTTTGAATGATACCATTCACCATCAAAATACTTGATTTAAAACAAATAGCTTTATACAAGGCGTCATTCATCAAAACTAAATTTTAATTGACCATTTCTTTTAGGCTTTGTTTTAGTCTTTCAGATACGATGTGTTTAATTAGGTATATCTTTTTATTTAAATAGTCGTCGTTCTTCTCTAACCAAGTCCATTGGACCAGTTCCATAATCTTTTGGGTGGAGATCGATGGAGTGGAATTCTGGTGGGAAAGACACTATTGATTTTTTAGACACTCTTTTTCATTTCAAATTAATAGAAAAAATCCGACTCCAGTATTTGACTAAAGATTGATGTTTTTTCTAAAGTTGAAATTCCACAGCATAATATTAGTTACATTTAGTAACGTATTTACATGTGGTGTAAGCTTTTAGAAGTTTCAACTTCAACATACTAGCACTGTATAAAAAAAAAAAGGTATGATGAGTTATGCTTTCGCGTCTAATGAAGGCAATTAGTTAACTAATAATATGCTTTCAAATAAAAAATATCTTAATTTGTTTAACTGTGCGTTGATTGATTCTAAATAGAGACGGAGACGTGGTGTGATTGTGTGAATAGTGTGATACAGATTCCACTACGGGTCCATAGTTTTGTAGAAAAGAGGCGGTATCCTTTTTGTTTTCGTATATCTATATCATATGGTTTTTATCTAACCTTTTCAACATTATGATGAGAAAATGAGATTGGTGTGAACGTTAAGAATTCATTATTCTTTATTTTCGCTCTAAAAATAGCAAGTCCTCCGACATGACCGGCAAATCTCCGACAATGACAGGTTGTAAAATCAATATCTTTTACACTAAATATAATCTGATTAAAAATTAATATATATACTCCATATACTATGTAAAATCTCGGCTTATCGTGGTGATTTCTGTCATGGCTAAAATATGAAATTTTGTCATGTACAAACTCTTTATTTAGCATAGGTTTTATTGTATTTTTCGTTATAGTCATGTTATTATTTTTTTTGTTTTTATAACTAGAGAGTGATCCCAACTTTTAACATTCCACTAAGTGAATGTATCCGTCGAATATTTCACGTATCGGATTTTTAATGGATCTAAAATATGGCACCAATTCCACAAGTGACAAGCCTAATGGGTCATTTTATTATTTCATAATGAAATAAAGAAGAAAAACTACAGCTCCTTTGATTTCATAATGTGTACAAACTAACGAAAGGGAGATAGGTCTATGTTGCCACGTACGATCCGACCGTTGGTATGTACCAGAAATTTGGCGTCAAGTCTTTGGACGAGTGACCAAATCGCCTTATTGGACCTCGTGTGTTTTCTCCTATTGAATCCATTGGTTAGACAAAAAGTCAACTCTTCCTTGAGAAGTACTAGTAATTATTTTTCTCTTATTGAAGTAGATTTAGTCTTGCTGAGAAATCAACACGAGGTTCGAGTGATTCAATAACTACGTGAATTTTCAATTATAGTATAACTGGTTTCCTCCGTTGACCAAAAGAAAAGTTAGTTGGATAAGCTTCTAACTTTTCCTTAAGAACATAATTTCAAACATATAATTAATGTGTATAGATCACATGCGACTTTGAAACATATCTTAATATTGTTAAAACCGGGCCTTGAAAATGCATAATACTCCTCCGTTTTTTTTTATAGATTTTCTGGAAATTTCACACAGATTAAAAAAGTTGTTAAAATGACGTTTTTGACATTTCCTTTTTATTATCCGAAAAATAAAGTAAATAAAAAAAAGAAATATAAATATTAAGAGTGCAGAAAGTTAAGTTCAGTCATAATTATATTAGTACTCATTACTATCAGTTTCCCATGTTTAGACTCTTGGTTTTCCATATTCACTCCCGCCATTATAAACATAGCATACACACGTGAACTTTTATACGTGAACTTAAAAAAAAAAAAATCTTTGGAGCCAAAATTTTAAGCAATTTATTCAAATTTTCAGTAGTGCCAAAAACATCAAATTTAGTTTACTGAAATTGCTATATATATTACCAATAAGTCGTAGATTGTAACACCAACAGTTTCTTAATGGCTTTTGCTCACCATTTCGATCTAAATGTTCCTATTACAGATTATGAGAGAGTTGGAGAGACTTTTTTTGATTTAAATAATACACCAACAAATTATTCCGAAGATTCCGAAGATGATTTAGCCAATCCATGGATGTTGAAACGGAAGTTCTTTCTCCAAATGTAACAGGTCATTTTCATTTTCTCTTATTTTATTTTAATAATCTTTTAAAGTTTGTAACTTTGTACATGTAGTATTTTTCTGTCTAGTTGGTTCTTACTATAGTCCATTTGTTTACGTGCATGGTTTGATAACCATTTGTTACTTACATGCATGGTTTGATAAAGCATTTGTAGTAACAAGTTTGAGTAAAAAAAATTATTGCATTACGTCTGATTTTTCCATAAATTATTTTATATGGAACCTTAAGTAATTTTATGTTACTATTAATGAATTAACAGAAAATCTGGAGGCTACACAAAATCAACAAACCATCACCAAGAGAAAAGAAATGACAGATGCTGAAAGATGGGAAGTTTACCGTGCGTTGTTGCAAAGAAGTAATAATGGAGTTCTGAAGAGGGGGACAACGAAGGAAGTTGCAAATTTACTTGCAGTGCCGAAACAGTCGGTACAGAAAATTTGGCGAAGAGCCAAAGATAATGTTTCTAATGGTGAAGCTGTTGATGTATCACACAGGAGGAAAGGGAAGTGTGGTCGCAAACCAAAGGAGATTGACTTGGAGCAAATTTTTAATATCCCATTACATTGCCGGACAACCATGAGATCGATAGCTGTAGTTTTGGAGGTCAGCCCAAGTACTATTCACAGATATGTGAAACATGGTCTCGTGAGACGACATTCCAATGCAATCAAACCAACTCTAAAAGACGACAATAAGAAAGCTCGGGTAAAGTTCTGCTTATCTATGCTTGATAAAAATACTTTTTCTCATCAGCCAAAGTTTGTTGATATGTTCAATATCATACATATCGATGAGAAATGGTTTTACATGACTAAGAAGTCAACGACGTATTATCTACATCCCCTCGAAGAAGATCCGGTACGTTCGTGTCAAAGCAAAAATTTTATTGGAAAAGTAATGTTTCTAGCTGCTATGGCTCGCCCAAGATTTGACGAAGAAGGAAACGAGATATTTTCTGGCAAAATTGGAATGTTTCCTTTTGTTACAATGCAAGAAGCTCAGCGACGGAGTCGAAACAGAGAAGCGGGAACCATGGAATTGAAGCCGATGGACTCTATCAAGAGAGAAGACATAAAAAGATGCTTGATAGAAAAAGTTCTTCCAAATATTCGCGAGAGGTGGCCGACGGAAGATTTTGGGAAAACCATTTTCATCCAACAAGATAATGCAAGAACACATGTTGACGTAAATAACGAAGAATTTCAAGAAGCTGCTTCACAACATGGATTCGATATTCGGTTGATGTGTCAACCGCCAAATTCACCATATATGAATATTTTGGATCTTGGATTTTTCCGTGCCATTCAGTCGTTGCAACATAAAGTGTGTCCCACGACGGTAGAGCAACTTGTTCATGCGGTGGAGGAAGCGTATGATGAATATCCTCCGAAACAAGTCAACAAGATCTTTTTGACTCTACAGTCATGTTTGCTAGAGACCATGAAAATTGGAGGTGCAAACACATACAAAATTCCACATATGAAGAAAGATCGATTGGAAAGAGAAGGACGTCTACCTATCCAATTGGCTTGCGATCCCATCTTAGTACAAGAGGTGATAAGTTCTTTAGCATGTTAGAAGAGGTGATAAGTTCTTTAGTTGCATTCTCTTTTATTATGATGTGAAAAAATTTCCAGTTCTTTTATCAAGCTTTTTAATTTTCAGTTTCTGATTTTATAATATCATAATGATAAAAATACATTCTCAAGTAGGCGTTGAAAAAAAGTTCTGCTAATTTGCCACTTAACTTAAGAAACTCATTACATAATCTTCTTCAACAACACACAAATAGATCAATCATTAAAATATTTAGGAAGCAAAATTCTTAGCATTTCTAACGTAGTTTGTCGAAATTCTGGGTAGAGCACCGCATGACCTGCATCATCCTCAAGAATCTTGTTTAAATC